GGGTGGCTCGGGCAGCAGCGAGGGGGGGGGGGCGGCGCGCGGCTCCCCAGGGCGTCGCGACGGGGCAGCGGGGGGGGGGGGGGGGGCGCGCGTGGCTCCCCAGGGCGTCGCGACGGGGCAGCGGGGGGTCGCGCGCGGCTCCCTAGGGCGTCGCGACGGGTCAGCGGGGGCCGAGCGCGGCTCCCCAGGACGTCGCGACAGGGCAGCGGGGGCCGAGCGCGGCTCCCCAGGGCGACGCGACGGGACAGCGGGGGTCGCGCGCGGCTCCCCAGGGCAGCGCGACGGGGCAGAGGCAGCGCCCACGGGCGACACGCGGCTCGGCAGGGCAGCGCGCTGGCTGCAGGGGCGGCTCTCGGGCCTTACGGGCCTGCAGAGGCGGCTCGGGGGGGCCTGACGGGTCTGCAGAGGCGGCTCGGGGGCCTGACGGACCTGCAGGGGCGGCTCGAGGGCCGTACTAGCTTGCAGGAGGCAGCGCGAGGGCTGCAGGACGGCACGCGGGCAGACCGAAGGGCGGGTCGCACGGGGGCGCACGAGGGCGCACGTAAGGTAGGGCGCACGAGGGCGCACGAGGGCGCACGAGTATAGAAAGGCGCACGAGGGCGCACGTAAGGTAGGGCGCACGAGGGCGCTTCTAGCGGAATAGTGGGCCCGTAGGAGAAAGCGGTCCTAGGTAGCAACCTAGGCTCGTGATACCATGTTAGAATGTAGAACTGAACGAGAATGTGTGAAACTAGGCAGCAGGGTGATACAAGTAGGAAACCCTAGCAATGTTGTACCCCCTAAGGCTAAACCCACTATAGCCTACACAATATGAACATGTATAATGTTTGACAAGAGAGGCACGAGGGTCGGTGACAAGAGAGGCGAGAACACGGGAGACAACAGGGCGAGCAGCACGGTAGTAGTCAGTGATAGGGTGAGAGGAAACGGTGAGAGACGACTCAGGAGGTGAGGGGAGAACAGGCACAGGCGGAGAACGACGAGGAGGACAACGAAACAAGACAGTGCGGAGGTCGGCAAGAGGAGACGAGGGCCGAGCACGCGGAGGACAATGACTAGTCCAGTCGTGCCGGACATTGGAGGCGACGACTGTGAACGAGGAGGAGAGAAAGCAGCCGGAGTCGAGTCCGGAGGAGGAAACGTAGGACCGTACGCAGTAGGTGACTGGGAGCGGACAGGAGGAGAGGAAGGAATACCAAGGGCCCAAAGGCCACTCACTGGAGGGAACAGCTGCTGCAAAAGTGGCGGTTGCGGCGTCTGCTGCTGCTGCTCCTGCGGCTGCTGCTGCTGCAGCTGCTACTGCTGCTGGTCCAACTGCTGCAGCTCCTGCCTCTCCTGCTCTACCCACTCCTGCTCCTCGTGCTCAAGCCGACGAAGATCCTGGAGACGTGTGTCGTAGCGGTGGGGAGGTGTAGTAGTCGTGCCTCCAGCTCCTGTCTCCTCAGTACCAACTCCTACAGTGCCAGCACCTCCTGCTCCAGCACCCCCAGAACTAGCGCCAGCAGCGCCAGCACCTCCAGCTCCAGCACCCCCAGAACTAGCACCTCCAGTGCCAGGACCTCCAGCTCCAGCACCCCCAGAGCTAGCGCCACCTGCGCCAGCACCTCCAGCTCCAGCACCCCTCAAATGCGCACCCCCAGACCGAGTACCGCCAGTGGCTGCACCTCCAGCTCCAACACCAACCGAGTCCACAGTAACCTGTCGAGGATGTGCGGAAGGCTGCTGAGGGGACTTTGAGGAGGACTGCGGGGAGGGAGACGCTACCGGACGCGCGACCGAGGGTAGAGGGGTAGCGTGAGACACACCTGACGGGGCAGGACTAGGGGGGGGCGGGGGTACCAGAGGAGCGGGAGCAGGGGGAAGAGAGGGTGCGAGGAAGAGGGGGGGAGGGGGAACCGGGAGACCTCGACAGGGGTACCGGGTGTAGTACGACACACACTCGTCAAACCGGACGTCACGAGAGTCTAGAAACTGGTGGAGGGGCGGGTGGTAAAAGGAGTAGTCGGGAGAGCCCACCGGGAAACCAAGGAAGACACAGGGGATGGCGCGAGCCGAGAGCTTGTCCGCAGAGGTGTCGCGGACAAGCGCAAGGCAGCCCCAGACACGAAAAACCGACCCAACACCAGGGGACCCGGTCCAAAGACTGGTCGGTGAAACCTCTGGCCGCGAGACACGCGGCTGGAGGTTCAGCTGGTGCGCGGCGTAGCGCAGCGCGTAGGGCCACAGAAAATGGGGCGCACGGGCATGGATCATGGACGTGCGGGCGATGTCCATGACCAAGCCAATGCGGCGCTCAGCAACCCCATTCTGCTGTGGGGACTCCGGCAGCGTCCAGGACTGTCTGGTGCCCTGCTCGCCGCAGGACCCGGCAAGGACGCCGGAGCGAAACTCACCCCCACGGTCGGAGTGGAGACAACGGACACGACTACCACGAGTGCCCTCAGTGGCCAGAAGCCACCGGATAAGCGTAGAAGTCACCTCGGACTTCTTCGCGAGAGGAAACACCGTGGTGTACCTGGAGTAGTCGTCAACGACCACTAGAAAGTAGCGCTCCCTCTCAGGTCCCGGCGTAGGGGCAGGGCCCCAGACGTCCAAGTGGAGAGTCAGGAAGGGAGCAGTGGCCGGACGAAGGGAGGAGGAGTGCGGAGTGGCGCGGGGTGGCTGGCTAGGCGCGGAGGCACGGGCTAGGCGCTGAGGTGGCGGGCTAGGCGTGGAGGCGCGGGCTAGGCGCGGAGACGCGGAGGGCGTGGCGGAGGCGCGGGCTAGGCGCGGAGGCGCAGACTAGGGGCGCGGAGGCGCGGAGAGCGCGGAGGCGCAGGCTAGGCGCGGAGTCGCGGACTAGGGGCGCGGAGGTCCGCAAAGGCGCAGGCTAGGGGCGCGGAGGGCGCTAAGGCGCGAGGGCCGCGAGGGCGCGGGTTTGGAGGGCGCTAGGGCGTCAGGGTCGATAGGGCGCGGAGGGCGCGGAGGGCGCGGAGGGCGCTAGGGCCCAACGGGCACGGAAACGTTACGAGCGTGGAGGCTAGGGCACGGAGTGGGCTATGATCTAACCGACACGATACCATCTCAAGAGTAACATGCAACGGAATGCTTGGATTAGGGTGGGGAGGCAGTACAAATACCGTCATCGCCCGGATGGAAAAACACATAAGTACTCTGTAACATTTGCAAAGTGTGTAGAAACCACCCAGGGGCCAGATTCATTGAAACAGGACGACCTCGGTGGTGATGCATGCAGCGCCCCCACTTGCCACGTGAGGGATGCAGCAAAGCTGCCACTGCTGGCAACATCCCTCCGTGCTGGCAGCATCTAATGATGCTGCCAGCGTCGTTTTGCTGCCAGCAGCGCATGGATGCCTCCATAACGCTGCTGGCAACACGATGGCAGCGTGAGGGCTGTCCTCTACGAGGAGATTCCTCGTAGAGGAGCGGCTCGGCACCTTTGGAAGGGGCACTCTGGCTGGGGGGGTAGTCGGGCTTGAGCTTCATTTGGTGCTCAAGAAGGTTGAGATCTCAACTCAACCTTTGCTCTCGGCAGGCTTAACCATGCGCACCAAAGTCCCCGTAGGCACGTCCTCACCTCGCCCTCACGTGAAGGTGAATAATTACGGTGCACGGTGATGACATCCGTGTAGCCATGGCGAAGAATACGCGCAAGGAGGGAGGATCTACCGCCGCCTCCGGTGCGAGCTGTGACGGGGACGACGGCGACGAAGAACACGGCGACGAGGGCGACGAAGAACACGGCGACGACGGCGAGGAGGATTGGCCGGAGAACGGCCACGACGACAGCGCTTCGGGGGATGAAATAGCTCCTGCCGACATCGACGAGGACGAATGGTGGAATCGGCCGGTTGGGAGTGAGGACGAAGTGGAAGAGTGGCGGGCTGATGATTCGGACAACGGCGAGGGTGCCAATGCGAATGCAGAGGCTGACGACGAGGCGGATGCGGAAGCGAGGACGGAAGAGGAGGCGGAAGCGGATGCCGATGCTGTTGCGCCCGCGGATGTGGCTGCAATTGCGAATGCGGATGCGGATGCTGTGGCGGAGGCGGATACGGATGCTGCGGAGGGAGGTGCTGATGCTGTCTTATTTGACGGTGAAGCGTCCGATGACGACTCGTGGAACATGGCGGGTGACGACGATGTTCCGCTTCTGAAGCGCCGGCTGCGTCATCGCCTATAGTCCAAGCCGAAGCGTGCCCGCGTCAACCGCGCATCACTCCTGCAGACAAGGGGAAAGCCAAGGTCGCGGAAGCCCCTGCTAAGGCCACCGTTCGTCGCCGCACAAGCAACAAGAAACGGAAGAACGACGGCGACCCCGGATCCAGCACGGGTGTTACTAAGAAGAAGAAGAAGAAGAAAGGGCCAAACAAGGACGACATCGTGGTGAACGAGGTGCTCGGCAGCGACGATGACTACGCGGAGGCTGCAGGCCCGATTCCTTCATTCCCTGAGAAGGCGAAGCCGAAAGACCCCACCCTCCATAATCCCAACTCCCGTCCACCTTCCCCTCGCAGCAAGGACAGTAAGAAGAGGCGACGCGGATGGACCGTACGCGAGAAGCTCAAGTGGGCGCGCCGCTACCAGGAGCTCGGCTCCTTGAAGAAGACCTCCTTGGAATCTACCGCATCCATCGCCTGCATCAGACGCTGGAGTGCGGAGGCTGCTGCGGGCGTCTACTAGGGAGCGGCGAACTGCCGCAAGCGGATGCACGGGGGGGGGCGCCACGCACACTACCCCGACATGGAGGTGGCATTGTACCGCTACGTCTGCCTGCAGCGCGCTAATGGGGTGGCGATCTCGGTGAAAGACACCCAGAAGTGGAGCTGCGAGTGGATGAAGAAACACTACCCCGGCAAGAACTAGAACGCAATCTCTCACTGGAGCCAGCATTTCCGTGACCGTTGGAACCTGGTCATGCGGGTGAAGACCAAGGTCGACCAACGGTTATCGGCTGGTGAGTGGTGAAGGCCTTGAATTCGCGCTCGATGCTTGACTGCATGTCCCTAAAACCATTTGTTTCTAACCATCCCCTCCTGCCGTGGCGTGTGTTCCCTTTGCAGAGTGCGCTAAGGACTGCGAGTCCTTAAGAACAGGGCGCGTCAACAGGGCGCGGCACAACATCGACCTGGCCCGCATCATCAACGCGGACCAGACGCCCCTCTTCATGGAGACGCCCCTCTGCAGGATACGAGAAGACGCGGCTCACGGTGATGCTCGCGTGCACCGCATCCGGGGAGAAGCTGCGCCCGTGGGTTTGGTTCAAGCTGAATAACGTGCCCAACTGTGAGATTCCGGAAGGTAAGCTCAAGGAATTCGGGAGCCGTAAGCCTGATGAGCTTGCCCTCTTTGGCTTACGCCCGTCTATCCCCTATGTGCCTGGCAGGAATCGTATGCCAAGTACAGGACAACGGCTGGATGGACGAGAGCGCTGTGCAGACCTGGCTGACCAAGGAGGTGCTGCCCCACCTGAACCCCCAGCGCGGCCAGAACGCGAGGCGCGCGATGCTGGTGTTGGACTCCTACCGCGGCCACATCACCCAGACCATGCTTCAATCTTACCGCACGCACAGCATCACCCCTGCAGTGATCCCAGTGGGTTGCACAAGCCAGATTCAACCGTTGGACGTCTCCATCAACCGGTGCTTCAAGGCTGCTGTGCGAGCGCGCTACGCCAAGTGGTCATGCGTGAAGGGATTCACCTGAAGACGAAGAAGGGTGAGTAGCCTTTTGAATTAAACTTCTGCGCTGTTTTCTTTCCATGACTCTAACGGCTCGCTACCCCTGCCTCTGTCCCACCCGCAGGGAACCTGCGGAGGCCTCCGCACCTCGTGGTGCTGCAGTGGATCGCGGAGGCGTGGGATCAAGTCCCGAAGAAGGTCATCATTGACGCGTTCCGGCACTGTGGGATTTCAAGCAAGTTGGACGGGACGGAGAACCACCTGGTGATGTCTCACCTGCGCGCCAGAAGCACCACCAATGTCTCCGAGGACATGTGCCTCGGGGGAACCACGGGCGACAACACACGCCTGCTTGGGCAGGCTCCAGAGGAGGAGGAGGAGGAGGAGGAGGAGGAGGAGGAGGAGGAGGAGGAGGAGGAGGAGGAGGAGGAGGAGTAGATGCAGGCGGAGGGCGTGAGGGAGGTGGCAGTGGCAACCGGCCTGGATGTGTTGTACCAGGAGACCCCCAACTATCGCGGAGCGGCGGCTGAGGCTGACCGCATGATCGAGCCTAGGGAGACGGCTAGGCATGCCTGGCGAGTGCCAGACCTGGGTGTTAGGGAGCCTTCTGTTAGTGCAGGTGAGGAGGCCGTGACTGAGGGGGGCTAGGTAGAAGTAGAGATTCATAGATGTATGCATGTACCCCCCTAAAGTAACTAATGATCGTTTAGAAGACACCCCCCTGTTTATAAGAAAACCCCTTAACCCCTGTTCTGATTATAAGACATATATGTCTTATCTCGTACACACATATAGGTGTCTTATAATGAGGCTAGCTTGTATGAAACAAGTCTTAATCCTTCCTAGCAAGGGCTCCGTCAGATTGCCTCAGCTCCTCCCTACTGCTGTGTTTCCTTGGATTGGAAAACAAGATTGCAGTAATAGAGAAACATACAAGCAAAAAGCGAGTGAATCAGAATCCTCCCTAACAATTCTACACTGCTCTCCCTCCTGCCTATTCTCTTGCTGTAGCACTTGTCTTCCTTATGACCCCGTTTCCCACAGCCGGTGCATATTGGAGCCTTAGGACAGTCGCGCCTGAAATGTCCTTTCACTCCGCATGTGTCGCACACGATGTCGATGGCGCAGTCCTTCCGCACATGCCCTTTTTCTCCGCACTTGTGACAACGTCGCCTATCTTCAAACGGCCTATCTCTTCGTTCCTCCTCCACCCGTCTTCCTTCCACAGCAGCCCAAGCAGGCCTCCTGTGTTCGCTTGGTCGACTGCTGCTCGCTCCTCGCAAACCATCAAAGAATCTCCTTCCCTCTTCTACTTCCTTCGCCACTTGGTACACCTGCCGCAACTTCGCTTTCATCCCCAGCGCATACAGTCAGCTTCTCATGTCTTGCATCAGGTCCTCCTCAAGTCTGCCCACGAACTTTGACACCAACGTACGTTCTTCTACGCATCCCATATCTTCCGCCAGATCCAACAATCGATTGTAATAGTCTAGCAGAGATTCAGCTCTCGCCCTCTTAAAGTCCTGAAACTCTGTCATCCGCTCTGCCGAATGCCCCGGGAATTGTTCTCGTAGACTCTCCAAGAATCGGTCAGTGATCTCAGCCGGTGGGAAGTCTCCTTGCCGGCTCTGCATCAGTAGTCCCTGCCTCTCCACTCGATAGTGTGTCAATGCCTCTCCCTTGAGAGTTCTCCCCAAGCCTCTAAAAAAATCAATGGGATCCAGTCCCTCCCTCTCCCAGCAGTAACGGATGTCGTCCACCATCATGAGATAATTCTTGAGCGTGGGCTCTTCTCCAGGCGCTCCTGATAATAAGAGACACCCAGATAATAGACAACCCCTGTCTACTATTCAACACTGTCTACTATCCGGGCGATGACGGTAGGAAACCTAACAAAGTTGTACCCTCTATGGAGTACCTCATTGCAGCCTATCACAATAATAACATTTGACACCGCATTATTTCTCTGACTGATCAGAGCACACTCTCAGGAAAAATCTGAAATATCAGAAAAGGCATTGTAAAAAAAGCTGAAGTTTTAGAGTTCAACCCCCCAAAAAACAGAACTTTCAGCAGACTCAATCTAGAAAAAGGCTGAAATATTATATTTTCAAAGGTAAATCAGACAAAATTCTCTGACTTCTGGGGGCCTTTCACCCACCATTGCAATGGTTGGTTGGTATCGTTGATAGTGCTTAGATTCCTAATCCCTGCGGTTCTTTGACACCAGGTGGTGTCAAGTGCTGCGATCAGATGTTGATCGTACCTAGGATCACCTCAGGAAGGTTCGCACACGACTGAGTAGTGGTGGTGGGCCCGTGACCTCAATAGCAGAGTGAATGTAAAATGCTTGAGATGATAATAATATGCAAGTACAGCACTATAAATAAGATTACAAGGGAATACCAAACGACCTAGCTAGCCATGTACTCTAAGGGGTACATTCCCTTATTGCAGTGAAATCCAACCGTGCGACTCCAGACAGTTACGAAACTGTTCGGGCAGAATCCTCGCCACTGCTGCTGTCTGATGCTGTCTGCCCGACGGTCCAGATTCTTTCGTAACCGTGCGACCCTTCGTGTCACTTCCGCCCGTTCGTCTTCATTCTCGGTGGTGCGTGCTTCGATTGCTGCGGTGAGGAGTGCACAATAGTGTTTCAATAATCACTATTCGTAACACCCCCCTTCACTCCTGGCCGTAGCGAGTCTTGACCCGCTTGACTACCCCGCTGAGTTCGGAGCAGTGCTGGTACTGCTGACGTGACAGCTTCTTCGTGAGGAAGTCAGCTGCCATGTCACCCGTAGGGCAGTAGGTTAGGTCAACCTTGCCCTTGTCAACTTCGTCCTTGACGAAGAAGTACCGCAGCGCGATGTGTTTGGTCCGATTGACGAATCCTGGCTTGTTCGCGATCCTGATCGCGCTCTGATTGTTGCAGTGCAAGCGAAAATTCGCCGAGGCTGGAATTTTCGCCTCCTGCAGCAGCTCCTGAAGGTAGAGGCCTTCGCGAACTGCTGCTGTTGCTGCGATGAATTCAGCCTCCGCTGATGACAGGGCAACCAGCTCCTGATTCTGTGAATTCCAGGAGATGGGGCCGCTGGGCTCGAGGCGGAAAAGGAAGCCTGTCCTGGACCGTCGATTGTCGGGGTCAGCGGCGTGATCAGTGTCCACGTAGCCGATGAGGTTGAAGGACGAGGTTGGGATGGTGGAGTAGCAGAGCCCGACATTGGGCGTGGAGATGAAGAACTGAAGTGCCCGCTGGAGATCTAGCAGATTCTCAGCCGTTGGTTTGCGAGAGTACTGAGCCAACTGGCTCGCGATGTAGGAGAGATCGGGCCTGCAGGTAACAGATGCAAAGAGCAGGCATCCCAACTGCTGTTGGTAGGTGTGAAGCCCAGCGGGGGACAGGGCTTTGTTGTCAGGCTTGTGGTTGGGTCCTGGAGTACGGTAAGGGGTGGAGAGTGGTGCAGGCGCAATGTTGAAATGCTTGCTAAGCTCCTCCGCGTACTTGGCTGCTGAGAGATGAATGGCTTCCGGCGAGTAGGTGATGTTGAGCCCGAGAAACTGCTTCACGGCATGATTGCAGGTAATGTCGACGCGTCCTGCGAGGTTTTTCTCGAATTGCTCAAGCAACTCGTTGCTTGACCCTGTGTAGAGGAGGTCGTCGACGTAGGCCGTGAGTAGAATGTATTCGTCGCGGAAATCGCGGCGATATATCCCAGGGTCGTGAGGCAACTGCTTGAACCCAATTTCAAGCAGTATGTTGTGCAGGTACTGCTGCCAGAGTCTTGGCGCATGTTTGATCCCGTAAAGGGACTTTCTCAGCTGACACACGCGCGAGTCTCCTTCGCCGTATATGTGCGGCTGCTCCACGTAGATTACTGCATCTACTAACGCGTACAGGAACGCGTTCTTCACGTCGATTTGTCAGAGCGGGAGGTGTCGTGCTGCAGCGATGGCGAGGAGAATCCTGACGGAGGTGTGGCGGCTGACCGGTGCAAATGTCTGGTCGAAGTCAATGCCATGCCTCTGATCGTAGCCACGCACTACCCAACGCGCCTTGAATCGCTCAATCGTGCCGTCAGCTGCGGTCTTCACGCGGAAGACCCATTTCCCAGAGAGAAACCTTCTCCCCTTGATTGCCGCTCGATCGACGAGCACCCAGGTATCGCGGGACTCAAGTGCCTTGATTTCCGCGTCCATCGCCTCGCGCCATTCCTTGCTGTGTTGTCCTGTGAGTGCTTGGCGAGGGTTCTTCGGCTCAATGATGCGTGGCGCCGTTGAGGTGGCGGTGTGGAGCCCGAGGAGTTGAAGTCCGGTGACGGTGCTGTCGTGGCGGTGCTGTGGAGTGACTTCCTGCACGTCGTCGTCGTCACTCTCAGGGTCAGGAGGTGCTGGTGGTGATGCGCCTCCGCTGTTTCCGCCTCTGCTTCCGCTTCCGCTCCCCGCGCCCGCTCCTCCTTCGGGGGAATCGTCAGCGTCATCGTCGTTGTCGTTGCGATCGCCTCTCGTGAACTCGCCTCTGGGGTCCTGTTCCATAATTGCTGCTGCGGCTTCGTCCTCAGGAGAGGCGTAGCTGTGGCCGTCGTTGGCGTAGACGCGGTTTGCGTTCGCCTGCTCGTTTTCGCGGAATTGCCGAAGAAAGAGCCGCTCGAAGAAGATGACGTCGCGTGCGTTCTTGATTTTCTGGCTCAGAAGGTCCAGAATGAGCCATGCCTTGTGCTCGTGGCTGATGCCGAGGTGGATCCCCTAGCGCGCGCGGCTAGCAAACTTCCCAGTAGTTGATGTCGGCGGCCGGTACTGCACCATGCATCCCCACACGTGGAGCATGGATGTGTCGCCTTTCCTCCCCGTCCACTTCACATGCGGTGAGGAGTTGCCGGTGATCGCGGTGGTCGACAGCAGGTTGTGCACCCGCACGGCGTGGTGCATTGCGTAGGTCCAGTAGGTCGGTGGAAGCTTCGACTGCTTCATCCGCGCCCGCACCTTTGTCATGAGAGTGCGATTCGTGCGCTCGGCTACGCCCTGCTGCTGGTGCGCATAGGGGAGGGAGATGTGGTGCTCGATTCCCTTTTGCGCGAGGTAATCCTGCAGCTCCTTGCTCCTGAACTCCGCCGCGCCGTCAGACTGCCAGATCTTCAACTTCTCCCCAGATTGCCGCTGCGCGTGCGCCAGCCACAGGCGGAATGCTTCGTATGCTCTGCTGCGTGCTTCCACGTTTACGACCCACACAAAGCGCGTTCCGGCGTCAACAAAGGTGAGCGTGTAAAGTTCGTCTTTGATGCCGCAGTGTCCCACGTTGAGGAAATCGCTGTATACCTTCTCCAGTTTGGTGTAGCGGTTGGTTCCGGGCTCTAGCAGGGGGAACGGCTGGTGGCTCAGCGCGGCTTCGGGGCAGATGGTGCAGTTGCGCGGATGTGTTGCTCCCCGTACTTCGGTGCCATCAGGGCGTAGGAGTGCGCCAGGCGCGAATACGCCGGCCTCGATGCAGTTCTTCAGAGTCACGCGCGAGGGGTGACCGAGGCGCTGGTGCCAGATGGCATCGTCAGCGCGGAATCCGGAGGTGCGCATGTAGCGCGCGAGTGCTTCTGCGGGATCCTCATCGGGAGCTTGAGCAGGTGTCGCCGCTGCTTCTTCTGCTTCTTCTTCTCCGTTCGCCGTCGTTAGCATTAGCGCGAGAAATTCCCTGTCAAGAATAACAGAGAGGGGGATATTGGTTCCGGGGATGGTTCCCGGGAAGAAGGTTGGTTCGCGCGGTTCGGGGGCATGCCCGTAGACGGTGCGTCGCGGAGTTGAGGGCTCGTTCCCCCAGTCGATGGTGTCCCAAGGGTCACTTCCTGGCGGGATGTCAGGTGGGGGTAGTGCGGGTGCGGGGCGGCGCGGAGGGCGACCGAGAGGAACAACAGGAGGTTCGGCCTCAATGGCTTCCTCACTTTCTTCTCCTTTCCCCCTTTGGTCCTCGCGGAAATCTCCCCAGCCGCTCGTTTCGCCGCCAGAGGCGGCGCCCCATCCGCCGGTGTCGCTCGTGCCCCATCCGCCAGCGCTTCCCCAGCCCCCTTCATTGGAGGCGCTCTCTTCGTCACCCCATCCGCTCCAGGCGAATGTTCCGCGTGACTCCGCAAGGCTCCGTTGGCGAAGTTCTTCCGCTTCGCGACGCGCCAGTTCCTCCTCTTGGGCAACGGTGAGCTGTTTCGTGGAGTCGCGCTGATGAGCGTAGATCTCCAGGAATTTCTCCTGCGTGTAGGGTCGCGGGTTTCCGTCCGCATCGAAGGTTCCGACACCTACGCAGCGCAACATTCCGCGAAGGTGTTGTGATGCAGGTCCTGGAAGAGGGGCTTCCTCCGTTCCGAAAACGATGCGTGTGGCTGTCTCGAGCTCCAGGTGAGACAGCCCTTCTTCAGGCGGTGCTTCCCGCTCTGCTTCGGCGATGGCAGCGAGGCCACGGCCGGCGATCGCGCTCGTCGAGGCTGTGGGCGTATGGCAATCTCTGCAGATGCCGTCGGGGTCGGGGTCATGTAGTGCCGTCTCGCGCGGGTGTGGGTGATGAGGCGCCCATGGGCGCCCGTCAGGATGTTTCCAATCACGGCGGTGGATATGTTCGAAGCGCAGGGGCACGAGATCGATCAGTTCCTGCGAGTCGCCGCTGCAGTCGGGAATGCTGAATCAAGAACGTAGACTCCGTTCTCGGCGCGGGCTCGTCCGATCTGCTTTCGCGTCTTGTTCGGCATCGTGAAGTGAAGCAGGATGTCGCGCGTCTCGGGGTCGGTGCTGAGGACAACTCCGCAATCCATGAGTTGCGCCGCTGAGAGGAGGTTGAAGCGCAGGTTCTGCACGATCAACACGTCGTTCAACGTGATGTGCGTTCTGCTTCCACGTGCCTTGAGCACAACGATGCCTTGCGCACTTGCACGCAGGCGCGTGTTGTTTGCCACGGTGACGTAGGTGACGGTGGGTGTCGCAACGGCGTTGGATATGTAACGCTCGGAGCCCACCATGTGCTGCCCACAGCAGCTATCCAGGTACCACGTGTTGTAGCGCCTGTTGTCGTTACGTGCGAGCAGCCCCAGTCGCGGGGTAACGATGTGTGGTGTGTCAACCTTTAGGAATTGTTCGCGCGCGATCCAGTCGATCGGTGCCGCCCTTGTATCAGGTACGTGTGGGGGGCTCTCAAGCAGCGGGACTGGAAGGTTTCAGTCCTGGTTGTCGTCGTCAGTGATATCGTGGCGCGTGCTGAACGGATTGTTGTTCGAAAACGCTCCGATTGGGTGAAGTGCTTCTTCCGGTGAAGGTGAGCGCGCACGGGGACGACGAGATCCGCTCGTCATCGTCAGGTTGCCCATGACGTTGCGAACGGGAGCAGTTGGTGGCTGCTGCTGATGATGCTGAATCGTTCGATTCAGGTTGCGCGGTGGGGGTTGATGCCCCTGGGCAGGACGCACGTCGTTCCTTGCGTCTTGTCGTCCGGACCAGTTGCTCGGATTGGTCTGACGAGGGCGAGATCGATGTTTGCATCAATCTGCCAGGTGCCCGAAGTTTCTGCAAATCTTGCAGTAAAGGCGCCGCGGCCGTCGCTCTTCCGTGTTGTCGGCGTAGAAGGCGAGGCGTTCCCTGTCTCGTCGAGGCGCTGGTCGCTGCTGGTCCATATCCCGTTGTTCGACAAGAAGGGCGGCGCAAAGTGCGGCCTCCGAGATGACCCCCTGCTGTCGGAGAAGCGCCTTGCAGGGCCGCCACTCTGGGCCGAGCCCTTGAAGCACGATGTTCACGAAGATCTCCTCAGAGATCGTGCTTCCCAACTTCGCGATTTGATCGCGTAAGCTCCGACAGCGATTGATGTAGCTGTTAGCCTTCTCCCCTGGTACCATTCTTGTCTCCAGTAGCTGCTGGAGTAGGCGGCTCGACGAAACTGAGTCCTTCGGTTGGTCGACGCCGTTCAGGTGGCGCCAAGCGTCGAGGGCTGGAGCAGGCGTTGTCTTGTATGAGCGAATGCTCAATTGCTCCGCCGGCGACATGTTTCGCAGAAGAACTCCGTACGCCATCAGAGACTCGTTGTAGTACCTCGCCTTGGCGTCGTCGGTGTCTTCATCGGGTCCCGAGTAGCTCCCGTCGAAATAATGGAAGATCTGTGCGTTTTGCAGCAGCAGTTCCAGCTCGAAGCTCCACGTATAGAAGTCTCTGCCGTCAAAGCACACACTTGTCTTAATTTTTTATATGCTCAAAAACCTTGATTGCGCAGAGAGAATTGCCTCTTCGCTGGGACGGGGAGGTTTGGGAGTTGAGCCATTGGTGTCGAGGGAGAAGGTATGCGGGGCGGTATTTTGGCCGTTCGAGGCCGGTTGAGTGGGTTGGGAAGAAGTTCCCGCGTCGCCATTCCGCAATGTTTGGAGTCCTTGCTCCAAGCTGGTAAGTCGCTGAAGCAGTTGTGCGAGAACGACGGAAGGGATCGTCGTCGTTTCCTCGCTTGTCGGAGCCGGGTTGGGCTGCGCTTCAGCCGTCAGATTCGTCTGACCACCAGATCCTCCAGCCATTCTCACGCGTGAGCGTGTGCTGGACGCCACTTTCTGATTGCCGAAGGTTTCGGTGGTGGCGATGCGAAGGATTCCTGAGTCGCTCATACCATGCTGCGATCAGAAGTTGATCGTACCTAGGATCACCTGAGGAAGGTTCGCACACGACTGAGTAGTGGTGGTGGGCCCGTGACCTCAATAGCAGAGTGAATGTAAAATGCTTGAGATGATAATAATATGCAAGTACAGCACTATAAATAAGATTACAAGGGAATACCAAACGACCTAGCTAGCCCTGTACTCTAAGGGGTACATTCCCTTATTGCAGTGAAATCCAACCGTGCGACTCCAGACAGTTACGAAACTGTTCGGGCAGAATCCTCGCCACTGCTGCTGTCTGATGCTGTCTGCCCGACGGTCCAGATCCTTTCGTAACCGTGCGACCCTTCGTGTCACTTCCGCCCGTTCGTCTTCATTCTCGGTGGTGCGTGCTTCGAATGCTGCGGTGAGGAGTGCACAATAGTGTTTCAATAATCACTACCTATTCGTAACATCAAGAACACTGGTCTGTGCCTTCACCAATTTACAAACCTTTTGTGGTTCTGAAGTATTGACATATGCTGACAAGACCAGCATGAGCAACCGTGGAGCGGACGAGGAGTCAGTCGGAGCCATGTGGAGCACAGAGGTGAGCGAGCCAGCGCTGGTGCTGAGAGAAGAGCCCACACACCACCTGCACCTCCTCCTCCCCGTGCGTCCTCAAGTCACCCGGTAGCCACAGCGGCCCATCCACTCCCTCCTCTCCCTCCTCCCCCTTCCATCCCTCCCCTCCCTCCCGTCCCTCCCTTTCCTCCCCTCCTCTCTCCCCCTCCCTCCCCTCCATTCCACCCTCGCCCCCCACGCCCTGCTTCCCGCCCACATCCCCCTCTCCGGCAGGCACGGCCGGCAGGTGCCGCCCGATCGCCACGGGTGCGGTGGTGGTGGCAGAGAGGCGGCGGGAGGGTGGAGCGAGGCGGGCGTGGGCGTGGTGGCAGGCGAGCAGCAGCATCATGGCGGTGTCGGGCTGGTGGGCCTCCCTCAGCGCCCGCAGTGCTGCTGTCAGACTGCCCGCCGCCACAAACAGCGTCACCGCACTGCACCGTGGGGGAGGGGAGAAGGGGAGGGGAAGAGGTCGGGGGAAAGGGGGAGAGGGGAGGGGGGAGTGGAGAATGGGGAGGCGGGAGGGGGGATGTGGCAATGAGACGGGTGTGATGTGGAACTGGTAAGAAGCGTGGGTTTGGCATGTGGAGGGAACACAGGAAGAGAGCACAAGCAGCAGCATGTCTCAAGGTTTGGAGGAGGTATACTCAACGTCACAACGCATCATACCCACATCACCTCAATAACTCACCACCACACCACACGAGATTCAATCCTTCCTACAACGCATCTTATTGCCATGCCTAACCGCCACAGGTCATGCTCACCGCCACAGGTCATGCTGACCGCCACAGGTCATGCTCACCGCCACAGGTCATGCTGACCGCCACAGGTCATGCTCACCGCCACAGGTCATGCTCACCGCCACAGGTCATGCTGACCGCCACAGGTCATGCTCACCGCCACAGGTCATGCTCACCGCCACAGGTCATGCTCGTTCTTAAGAGTGTGCTGTGCCCATCGATGCAGCACCCTGTGCCATGGCAAGCCATGGGGTGGGGGATATCCAGTGGCAACTCATGTTGTGAGCAGCACGTCATAGTAAACTCACAACAAGGCCAGAGAACGAGTTGGAAAAATGGCATGCTAATGGCATGCTAATGGCATGCTAATGGCATGCTAATGGCATGCTAATGGCATGCTAATGGCATGCTAATGGCATGCTAATGGCATGCTAATGGCATGCTAATGGCATGCTAATGGCATGCTAATGGCATGCTAAAGGCATGCACAATAGATGGCCATGCAAAGGATGGTTGGGAATGAGAATAACGGGGGCAAAGAAACGGTGGGACTTTACTTGGCCCTATCAGCGCCTGACAGGTGGCAAGCCGCGAGCGTTGATGCATCCACCCATCGGCCAATGGCTTGCAGCTGATGGCAGGGGACGGAGATGATAAGGATGATGGGGATGATAAGGATGGTGGGGATGATAAGGATGATGGGGATGATAAGCATGATGGGGATGATAAGGATGATGGGGATGATAAGGATGGTGGGGATGATAAGGATGGTGGGGATGATAAGGATGGTGGGGATGATAAGGATGATGGGGATGATAAGGATGATGGGGATGATAAGGATGATGGGGATGATAAGGATGATGGGGATGATAAGGATGATGGGGATGATAAGGATGGTGGGGATGATAAGGATGGTGGGGATGATAAGGATGATGGGGATGATAAGGATGGTGGGGATGATAAGGACGGTGGGGATGATAAGGATGGTGGGGATGATAAGGATGATGGGGATGATAAGGATGATGGGGATGATAAGGATGATGGGGATGATAAGGATGATGGGGATGATAAGGATGGTGGGGATGATAAGGATGGTGGGGATGATAAGGATGGTGGGGATGATAAGGATGATGGGGATGATAAGGATGGTGGGGATGATAAGGATGGTGGGGATGATAAGGATGGTGGGGATGATAAGGATGATGGGGATGATAAGGATGATGGGGATGATAAGGATGATGGGGATGATAAGGATGATGGGGATGATAAGGATGATGGGGATGATAAGGATGGTGGGGATGATAAGGATGGTGGGGATGATAAGGATGATGGGGATGATAAGGATGGTGGGGATGATAAGGACGGTGGGGATGATAAGGATGGTGGGGATGATAAGGATGATGGGGATGATAAGGATGATGGGGATGATAAGGATGATGGGGATGATAAGGATGATGGGGATGATAAGGATGATGGGGATGATAAGGATGGTGGGGATGATAAGGATGATGGGGATGATAAGGATGATGGGGATGATAAGGATGATGGGGATGATAAGGATGATGGGGATGATAAGGATGATGGGGATGATAAGGATGGTGGGGATGATAAGGATGGTGGGGATGATAAGGATGGTGGGGATGATAAGGATGGTGGGGATGATAAGGATGGTGGGGATGATAACGATGATGGGGTTCATGGAATTCATGGGGATCATGGGGACGATGGGATGATAGGAGTAATGGTAAATCAACTTACAAAAAAAATGGTTCAGCACCATGGTAAGTGTGAGTACGACCATGGTAAGTGTGAGTACAACCATGGTAAGTGTGAGTACGACCATGGTAAGTGTGAGTACGACCATGGTAAGTGTGAGTACGACCATGGTAAGTGTGAGTACAACCATGGTAAGTGTGAGTACGACCATGGTAAGTGTGAGTACGACCATGGTAAGTGTGAGTACGACCATGGTAAGTGTGAGTACGACCATGGTAAGTGTGAGTACGACCATGGTAAGTGTGAGTACGACCATGGTAAGTGTGAGTACGACCATGGTAAGTGTGAGTACGACCATGGTAAGTGTGAGTACAACCATGGTAAGTGTGAGTACGACCATGGTAAGTGTGAGTACGACCATGGTAAGTGTGAGTACGACCATGGTAAGTGTGAGTACAACCATGGTAAGTGTGAGTACGACCATGGTAAGTGTGAGTACGACCATGGTAAGTGTGAGTACGACCATGGTAAGTGTGAGTACGACCATGGTAAGTGTGAGTACGACCATGGTAAGTGTGAGTACGACCATGGTAAGTGTGAGTACGACCATGGTAAGTGTGAGTACGACCATGGTAAGTGTGAGTACGACCATGGTAAGTGTGAGTACGACCATGGTAAGTGTGAGTACGACCATGGTAAGTGTGAGTACAACCATGGTAAGTGTGAGTACGACCATGGTAAGTGTGAGTACGACCATGGTAAGTGTGAGTACGACCATGGTAAGTGTGAGTACAACCATGGTAAGTGTGAGTACGACCATGGTAAGTGTGAGTACGACCATGGTAAGTGTGAGTACGACCATGGTAAGTGTGAGTACGACCATGGTAAGTGTGACTACGACCATGGTAAGTGTGAGTACGACCATGGTAAGTGTGAGTACGACCATGGTAAGTGTGAGTACGACCATGGTAAGTGTGAGTACGACCATGGTAAGTGTGAGTACGACCATGGTAAGTGTGAGTACAACCATGGTAAGTGTGAGTACGACCATGGTAAGTGTGAGTACGACCATGGTAAGTGTGAGTACGACCATGGAAAGTGTGAGTACAACCATGGTAAGTGTGAGTACGACCATGGTAAGTGTGAGTACGACCATGGTAAGTGTGAGTACGACCATGGTAAGTGTGAATACGACCATGGTAAGTGTGAGTACGACCATGGTAAGTGTGAGTACGACCATGGTAAGTGTGAGTACAACCATGGTAAGTGTGAGTACGACCATGGTAAGTGTGAGTACGACCATGGTAAGTGTGAGTACGACCATGGTAAGTGTGAGTACGACCATGGTAAGTGTGAGTACGACCATGGTAAGTGTGAGTACGACCATGGTAAGTGTGAGTACGACCATGGTAAGTGTGAGTACGACCATGGTAAGTGTGAGTACAACCATGGTAAGTGTGAGTACGACCATGGTAAGTGTGAGTACGACCATGGTAAGTGTGAGTACGACCATGGTAAGTGTGAGTACAACCATGGTAAGTGTGAGTACGACCATGGTAAGTGTGAGTACGACCATGGTAAGTGTGAGTACGACCATGGTAAGTGTGAGTACGACCATGGTAAGTGTGAGTACGACCATGGTAAGTGTGAGTACGACCATGGTAAGTGTGAGTACGACCATGGTAAGTGTGAGTACGACCATGGTAAGTGTGAGTACGACCATGGTAAGTGTGAGTACGACCATGGTAAGTGTGAGTACAACCATGGTAAGTGTGAGTACGACCATGGTAAGTGTGAGTACGACCATGGTAAGTGTGAGTACGACCATGGTAAGTGTGAGTACAACCATGGTAAGTGTGAGTACGACCATGGTAAGTGTGAGTACGACCATGGTAAGTGTGAGTACGACCATGGTAAGTGTGAGTACGACCATCGTAAGTGTGACTACGACCATGGTAAGTGTGAGTACGACCATGGTAAGTGTGAGTACGACCATGGTAAGTGTGAGTACGACCATGGTAAGTGTGAGTACGACCATGGTAAGTGTGAGTACGACCATGGTAAGTGTGAGTACAACCATGGTAAGTGTGAGTACGACCATGGTAAGTGTGAGTACGACCATGGTAAGTGTGAGTACGACCATGGAAAGTGTGAGTACAACCATGGTAAGTGTGAGTACGACCATGGTAAGTGGGAGTACGACCATGGTAAGTGTGAGTACGACCATGGTAAGTGCGAGTACGACCATGGTAAGTGTGAGTACGACCATGGTAAGTGTGAGTACAACCATGGTAAGTGTGAGTACGACCATGGTAAGTGTGAGTACGACCATGGTAAGTGTGAGTACGACCATGGTAAGTGTGAGTACAACCATGGTAAGTGTGAGTACGACCATGGTAAGTGTGAGTACGACCATGGTAAGTGTGAGTACGACCATGGTAAGTGTGAGTACGACCATGGTAAGTGTGAGTACGACCATGGTAAGTGTGAGTACGACCATGGTAAGTGTGAGTACGACCATGGTAAGTGTGAGTACAACCATGGTAAGTGTGAGTACGACCATGGTAAGTGTGAGTACAACCATGGTAAGTGTGAGTACGACCATGGTAAGTGTGAGTACGACCATCGTAAGTGTGAGTACGACCATGGTAAGTGTGAGTACGACCATGGTAAGTGTGAGTACGACCATGGTAAGTGTGAGTACGACCATGGTAAGTGTGAGTACGACCATGGTAAGTGTGAGTTCGACCATGGTAAGTGTGAGTACAACCATGGTAAGTGTGAGTACAACCATCGTAAGTGTGAGTACGACCATGGTAAGTGTGAGTACAACCATGGTAAGTGTGAGTACGACCATGGTAAGTGTGAGTACAACCATGGTAAGTGTGAGTACGACCATGATAAGTGTGAGTACGACCATGGTAAGTGTGAGTACGACCATGGTAAGTGTGAGTACGACCATGGTAAGTGTGAGTACGACCATGGTAAGTGTGAGTACGACCATGGTAAGTGTGAGTACGACCATGGTAAGTGTGAGTACGACCATGGTAAGTGTGAGTACGACCATGGTAAGTGTGAGTACAACCATGGTAAGTGTGAGTACGACCATGGTAAGTGTGAGTACGACCATGGTAAGTGTGAGTACGACCATGGTAAGTGTGAGTACAACCATGGTAAGTGTGAGTACGACCATGGTAAGTGTGAGTACGACCATGGTAAGTGTGAGTACGACCATGGTAAGTGTGAGTACGACCATCGTAAGTGTGACTACGACCATGGTAAGTGTGAGTACGACCATGGTAAGTGTGAGTACGACCATGGTAAGTGTGAGTACGACCATGGTAAGTGTGAGTACGACCATGGTAAGTGTGAGTACGACCATGGTAAGTGTGAGTACAACCATGGTAAGTGTGAGTACGACCATGGTAAGTGTGAGTACGACCATGGTAAGTGTGAGTACGACCATGGAAAGTGTGAGTACAACCATGGTAAGTGTGAGTACGACCATGGTAAGTGGGAGTACGACCATGGTAAGTGTGAGTACGACCATGGTAAGTGTGAGTACGACCATGGTAAGTGCGAGTACGACCATGGTAAGTGTGAGTACGACCATGGTAAGTGTGAGTACAACCATGGTAAGTGTGAGTACGACCATGGTAAGTGTGAGTACGACCATGGTAAGTGTGAGTACGACCATGGTAAGTGTGAGTACAACCATGGTAAGTGTGAGTACGACCATGGTAAGTGTGAGTACGACCATGGTAAGTGTGAGTACGACCATGGTAAGTGTGAGTACGACCATGGTAAGTGTGAGTACGACCATGGTAAGTGTGAGTACGACCATGGTAAGTGTGAGTACGACCATGGTAAGTGTGAGTACAACCATGGTAAGTGTGAGTACGACCATGGTAAGTG